GGAGGGGGGGGGGGGGGGGGGACCACGAAGGTGGGCATGACCAAGCATAACACCTCAAAGTCCAAAGTTCATGGAGGTGCCCACAAAATTCAAAAAACAAGGCACTGCCCAACAGGAGGTGACCCATGAGAACCACACAGGGCAGCCTGACCAGAGTCACGGCTGTTGGGCACAACAATGCACACTCCGGGGAGCAAACCAGAGACCCAGAACCAGGCAGGAGACTGCACGGGGGGCCGCTCAGGGGATGTTTATGGGGAAGGACCGACGTCAGAGGTTGAGATGAGGCTGGCTGACTGGTTAAGCTTAGACAGTGGCAAGACTGGCAGTTCCTGAGGGGGCGGTGGCATCGTTGGCCCACTCGGGAGCTGGAAGCAGGGTGGCATTGAGGCCCACTCGAGAGCTGGAAGCAGGATGGCATCATCAGCCCACTCAGGAGCTGGAAGCAGGGTGGCGTTGTCGGCCCACTCGGGAGCTAGAATAACATGGCAGTGGCGGCGTCATCGTCCCACTCAGGAGGAGGGACAGACGCAGGGTCGATATCACCATCGACTCCCCTTAGGAATGGGGACACCGTTGGTGGTCCAACCGACCTGCTCAGGGACAGGAGCAGAGACGTCAGCATACAGTGGATCTAGGACCTCAGTGGGGACACTCTTGTCGGCACACCTGTGGACCCCAGTCTCAGCGGGGATGTTGGCACATCTCAGCCAAGGGACGGGCACGGAGAAGGCGTCAGCAGTCCAGCCGACCTGCTCAGTAGTGTTGCTTTCATCAACGAAAATTATGACTAAATATTGTCGTCAACGAACATTTATCACGTGACAAAAACAAGATGAGATGCAACGAAAATGCTTGTCGTGTGATGATGACTATAATTAAATTGATAGTGCAATATTGTTGATGAAAAAAAGAGACTAAATGTGGTTTCCAAAATAAAAACTATGCTAAGATGTCTCTTCATTTTTGTTGACCAAAACGAGACGAAATGTTGTAACGTTATTTCGTCTCGTTTAGTCGCGTTATTATTATTATTTTGCAGTATTTCTGTTTCCTGTGTCTCGCTTCAGGGGCCGTATCAGGTCGCACTACGCAGACACAGGCGATGTCACTTCCTTAAGCTCCATTTGCAGCATTATTTAGAAGACGACAACAAACAAAGTTAAGTCTGACACAGAGAAAGGGACCAATGGCCGGCTGGCCGGAGTTTGTCTTTTAGAGAAAAAGAAGAAATGACATTTGGAAAAACTTTCATTACATAGAAGTGGAAAAGAAAACGGAGTGTGTTGTGGAAAAAGATGGGGAGAAATGTGGCCACAAAATCACACAAAATGTGTATTGGATGTATTCTTGAGTCTATAAGGTAACAATAATATAATAAGATAACCTTATTTGAAATGGGTTTGGCTCAAAGAAACTTTTGGTTTCCTCTATACTACTATGCATTGTACTTGTACTATAATGACTGGGTTAAATAGAATTGCATTACTAAAAAGAGACTAAAATACAATTTCCATTATCTAAAACTAGACTAAAATGTCATCAGTTTTCATCGACTATAACTAGATGAAAATAGTTCTGACTAAAATGCTCAGACTTTTAGTTGACTGAAACTTGACTAGACTAAAAACCTGGGGATGTTTTCATGGCCAGACTAAGGGACAGGGTGTGTAGCTTCGCCAGAGGGAACCTCACCATCTGGCACATGCAGGGTGCAGGAACTGATTGGGCTGGTCACTATCTGAGCCTACGGCCACCACCCCAGGAAATGGCTGTAGTGGCAGCGGCTGGGGCCATCGGATAGACTGTGGCTGTAGAGTGGGAAGAGAGAGTCCATCTGGGCCTTCAGATGGCTTGGGCTTCAACAGGGCTCTTTCTCCCGAGTCCTCCAGGACAGAGGGCTTTCCAGGATCCTTGGAAGGGCGAGGGCTTAGGATCGGTAGCATGAGGACCTGACATACAGAGTTGCACTCGTGTTGAGAACTGGGAAAGGCTGGAGAGTTGTGCTCATGCCGAATGTCGGGAAAGGAAGCTGGGGAGCCGCACCCACACCAAGTATCAGGAGATGCAGGATGACAGGTAAGGTGATTCAGATATCACAGATCGTAGAAAGCCCGGAGGGGTTCGTGTAACACACCTCATGAACTAGCCAACGCGTTGTGGAAAGCTCTGTGATATACTCGATGATTCAGTGTCAGACTGAGGGAAAGGGGGAGTATTTGTGCCGAAGTGAGTCTGGGGATAATGAGCTGCAGGTGGAGGTGATCAGAGCTAATTGGGCTATGGGACATGAAATGACCAAATGGCAGTGAGTCCAGGTAAAAGTTAACACAACACTGGAAGCTAGATTGTGAACCATGACACCTAAAATCCATACACATTTATCTAGGACACTAAAATACTTGAGTGTGTCATGTAACCACATTAACATGTATAGTATTTACAGTATAATTATCTATGATTCCTTATTATCTCCACTAACCAGAGCCTCAGAAGGCACATGTATTTGCATCCAGACACCTAAACTGTATCTTACACATACAGGTAACTTTAACAGGAGAATGAGATATCATTCATTTCAAGCCTTGCCCTCAATGGCAATGGTTTTACTTTACAGGGTCTATTATAACTTCAGTCATATAGCTTCACAGGTTATAGTAATGAAGAGAACTCACACCATTCAGTCTACTAGGCTCTCACTTGGGAGTTATGTTACTTTTGCCTGTATTGTATGATAAAATGACGAGATTTTACAGGCCCTGAGACCAACAGTAACTTGAAAGACAAGTTATATCTGTAACTAAAAGGGTCAATGTTTCAAATCCTCAAAATACCTTAGAATATGAGCAGTAGGTGGGAATCTTAAAGGTTGTTTCATTCAGCATTGTGTGGGTTTATATTAGAGCTATGCTATGTGTGTGTGTGTGTGAGTGTGTTTCTTTCTGAGTGACAAACTATGGACTGCCCTATGTTTCTCAAATTTTAAGGCTGCATGACAACTATTATCTTAACTAGACAGCACTGAGAGAATGCAGATGCCAAGGACAACTCAGTTTCCCCATAATTCCATAAAAGCAATATTCCTATGATGGTTTGACCCTCATAATATGATTGCTCGACTATGAAAACCTGCTCCTGTCATTTAGAATGAAAGGGAGAATGAATTTAGTGTGAAAGTTATTCCAGTGTGTGGACTGTGGGCAAAGCGGTGAAGATGTCACATTTCTGCAAGTTTGTGTTCTGCTTGTTCAGCAGCTGTTTGATAAAATGTTTATACAGTCTCCATTGCTGGCAGATTGTTGCACTATGGAGTGATACTTCACATCCTCACCTCAGCTGTGAGTGTGTGTGAGACGACCACAGCCCCTCTCTCCTCTAAACAAAGACCAGCACAGCACAAAATACAGTAGAAAAGCAAAGTAGGGTAGTCTGTGCCATCACTGTCCAAGATCAAGAAACCCCGATGGGCTCCTACCCAGCTGTCGCTGCATAGAGTAGATCTTTCTCCAGCTCTGGGCTGTCACCTTGCTGGGCTTCTTCAGTCCCTGTCTCGCACACTGGGGTGTACCTATTGACAGCACTCAGTTTCCACTGACAATCAATGGGCAGCTGTCATTAACCCAGATTTGTCTCCCTATGTGCTAAAGGTGAAGTTCCATGAAGGAAGACTCTCAGTCTTGACTTTGGTTAAGACCTTTATTTGGATGTCACTGACTGTTTGCACTTACTGTTCATGAGGTAAATGTATTATTCTGGATTGGTCAAATTAAATAAGGTGAGCTCTCTGAATGCCTCCTGTTTTGTGTTAGTGCTTGGGTCCAGTACTCTGAATGTTTCAAGCTCCCAAAAAGCATATATCTGCACTGCACCAGTTGGACAGCTTTTTAGTTTTTAAAAGAGTAAAATGATGAAATGTTTTGTGATGACAGCTCAGAGAGTAATGCTTTATACATGTCACTACCACACAGTATTTAGGCAATTGGAGACATGTATGCTACAGTACAAGTCATGTCTTTGGGGGATTAAATTGTTGAGAGATGACAGATGTCCTTTTTAAAACTTATATAGGATTAAGTGAGATAGTCCTAATTGAATTAAATTGAGTCTAATAGGCCAGAGCAGAATCCATGTAATTGTGATAGTTCTTCAGTGTCTTCCCCACCTTGTTCACTTCTCTTAGCATTTTTTGCTGGGTTCATGTCAGATGGGGATTCAGGGCCACTTGGCAGCCTTTCAGCTGTGATTATGGGGGAACAATGTGTGACACAGTACAGAGTGTGTTGATGGCACACTTCCAGGTACATAGACGTTTCTCTCATTCTTTATGTGACTATCTACATGCTACACTCCAGCTCCTGCACCACTCCTCCTAATTTACTGTCTTTGGCAATCCTACATGTTGAACGTGTTGTGCATTCTCCCTGTCTAGTGCTAGCCAAGTCCCATGTTTCTGTCCATGTGTGGATACACTTTAAAACTTTAAAATTTCTTGACTAACAAGTCTGGTTTATCACTTTGAATATTTACCTACTTTGTCTATGCTGTTTTTATTTAATGCACATGGTGTCATAATTGACTCAGACCTGAGCTTCACCAGACAGATCAAAACCATGACTAAATCAGCATGTTATCATCTCAAACAAATAGCAAGACTCAGATGTCTCATGTCCAGACAAGATTTAGAGAAACTAATTCACGCCTTCATCTCCAGCAAGCTGGATTATTGTAACGGTCTTTTGCCTGGTCTTCTTAAAAAGACAGACTGTTAGACAACTACAGCTCATTCTAAAATCCTCCTGCCAGAGTTTAAACAAGACCCAGGAGAAGTGAGGACATTATTCCAGTTCCATTATTCCAATCCTTACACTGGCTACCAGTTACCTACAGAATAGGTTTTAAACTGTTACTACTAGCTTATGCATCCTTCAGTGGTATGGGGCCAAAATACAGCTCTGAGCTCCTTAATGAATACAAACCCAGCAGGGCTCTGAGAGCTTTAGGAAGCAGTTAACTGGCAGAACCTTGGGTCAGAACCACACAGGGTGAAGCAACTTTTAACTACTGTGCTGCACACAGATGGAGCCAGCGTCCTGATGACCTTAAATGAGATCCGAATCTAGACACTTTCAAGTCTAAACTGGTTTCTTTATTACATTTTTGTTTCCTCTGTTGGATTCAGGGCAGTGCACAACCTCTTACTGCACTGTAGTTGTGTTTCTGATCTTTTTGTAGTTGTGTATTTTTTATTTTCCTCTTAAACATTTTATTCCATTTGTAATATTTATTTTTTAATATTGTTAATGGTTTTCTTTGCCCTTGTAAAGCACTTTGAATTACCTTAGTTTGAAATGTGCTATATAAATAAAGTTACCTTGCCTACATTCATCTTCTGATGTTTCTGTACATACAGGGTTTTCCCTACCATAAAAGGGCTTAGATGCAGCTCTTGAGTGTTTTTGCGAAACACCTGACTTATACCTGCTTTTGTACCCACACTCATTGAAAGAATTCTCTAGAGGTGGATAGTGTACCAGCGTTCCTTGGTACACTACCATCTGTGGACGTCAGTATGTGCAGAGTTGGCTTTTGTTTGCAGTGAAAACTAGATCTCTGTCTTCATCACTTGTTATTCCTCTTGTTTTTTATTTACATGGTCATTTATTTGGCTCACATCAACTGCAGCATACCTTTCATACTGAATATGGCTTCTAATTCTTCAAATCTTTGATCCCCTTTTTCCTGGTCAGTTACAAGAATGAACTGTTCTGTCTCTTGGCACAGAAAGGAGTCACTCCTGTGGGATCAGTCATATTGTGTGTGCAACAAAGATGGCCTATTCAAAGAAGCTTTAGTTACAATACAGCTTCCTTTTATTCCCCTGTGTGTGCACCTCTCAGTCTACAGTATTTCTGCTGTCCTTTTTCTCTCCTTTTTTTTTACAAAGATTGGTGTCAACAAGAATCTTTGGTAACCAAAGGATTCTAATCACTATGAATTTCCTTTGCACCGTTTATTGGCAGGCTGAGCCAGCATTGAGTAGCATGCATCTGATGCCCTGTCAGTGTCAACAGAAGCAGAGGGCTGATGGGCTTGGGGAGAGAAATTATGTTTCCTTGAGACTAGATTCCCAGATTCTCCACTCTCACAACTCTTATCAGGGAAGGGCACTTCAGGTGTCATACAGGAGAATAACTAGACCATTGACTAGACTACTGAATGTTCTGCAATGTTGTTTTTTCCTTCTCTTAGCACAAAGCCTGCTTTTTCAAACAAATGTAAACAAAGCATTCAAACATATTCTTCTCAAGGCAACATACTCTTACAGCATATCAAGACCAATTTACAAAGAGTGTGTTTCTGTCTGTGTGTATGCTTTGCAGGCTTGTGGAGACAGGGAGTAGCAGTATTCAGAGCTTGTCCTGGTCTGACAGTCACCTGGCAGAGCTGGATGGAGACACCCTACGTTTATTTGGACTGGGAGCCCTGGAGGCACTGGAGAGGGGCTGGAGAGTTCAGACCGCTGGTGCTGTCAATGTAATAACCTTCCGCTACATCAACTTTGATGCCATTGTTCCAACACTCCCGCGAATACGGGTCAAGTTCCCCAATCTATCGGTGAGGGTACTAGTTGCATATTGTGCCATAATGTGCCAGGGGAGAATGTTGACATGATTTCCCCAAGAAGAACAAAAAATGCAATATATATTTTTCACTTTAGCTAACATATGGCTGTGGTAAATACTGAATGTCAGAAGTTTAAAGGTGCTAGATATCCAGTTGTGGTGATTCTGAGCCTCCATAAATTTCTTCATGGTAGGGTATCAGAACTACTCCCAAAGTGAATTGTCAGAGTGCTGTGGGAGAGTAGTAATTTCAAAAGGAATGGAAAAAGTTAATTTAGTGGTCTTTGGCCATGGTGAGGAACTCTAAAGCTAGGGCCAACAATGGTGGATAGATACATTTCTTCTAATTCAACCCTACAGCTGCTTCGGAGGCCTTCGGACATACCTGGCATGACATACAGTGAAACTGAAACTGACTAGTGTCACATTTTCTACAGCACCTGATATTCTTGGAAACCAACATCAGTCGTCTGCCACAGCTAGCAGCCCTAGCTCAGTTGAGGCGTCTGGACCAGCTGACAATTCATCCAGAGGGCAACCCAGTGGTCAGTCTGACTCTGTGGAGATCCTTCCTCATCTACCGCCTCCACCACTTCAACCTGCAGAGGATTAATGGCCAGGAGGTGATGTCTAGATCAGTATTTAATGCACTGCCAATGCTGTATAAAGGTGATGTGAAGGACAAATGCAGTAACCGATAGCAAATTTCACTCTTAATTATACGGTGTTATTGTAAATGAGCAAATGGTTAAAGAATAGTTATACTTTTTGTAAAATATGCTTGTTTGCTTTCTGATGGGGAGTTGGATGAGAAGATTGATACCACTTTCATCACTGTCCATTAAATATAAGGCCGCATGCAACAGTAGGTTAGCTCAGCTTGGCATAAAGTTTGAACAAACCCTGGCACTGTCCAAACAAAATCTGCTTTTGAGCACCTCAAACACAACGACACATTTACAGCCAGCACAGTTTGTGAACACTGGGAGAAAAATAAGTCTTTTTTGTACATCCACAGTCAAGTTTTGTAAATCCATTTTGCAAAGAAAACAAAAAACACAAGTTTTTCTATCACATATTGGACACATTCTGTTTGGGCTGCAGCAGGCACCAAACTGGGCTGACCTCATGGAAAATTCACCAAGTTAGTGGAGGCTATAACACATTCAGCTGGTGGGCATTAAAATAATGTAATTTACCAACATCACAAATTAATTTGACAGCTGCTGCAGACCGTCTAGGCAGTTTGTAAATGAACTATGTATTTGTAACAGTAACTAATTGGCTATTGTAAGTCAAAGTAGTAACATAGTGACATCCTTAGCTTAGCTGCTGTTACAGTACCACTGGGAATGCAAGTTAAACTGTCTCTACTGAGTTACAAGTACAAAGGCTAATGATTTGACTCATTGTCATTAGGACAATAGATTAATTCACAACTTATTAAGCAGAAGTAATCTGTTCCTTTCTATCTGCTGAAAGTCACATTGATATAAATTCATGACCTAAATCCAGTTGTGTTGGTTTCTTTTTGTCCTGCTCTTCAAAGCTCTTTTCTTGTCCTTCTTTCTCATGTAGCTGTCTGAGCTAACACAGAACTCGGGAGCTTGCTAGCTTGCAAGTCAGCCATAGCATTATCAGTAGAGCTGAAGCGTGTTCACATATTGATTGATCACTGTGGGCACACCTCTGGCATTGGTCTTCCCTGATTAGTTGATAGGGCAAATTTGGTCAAAAATGTTTAGACAGGAATATCACTGCACCACTTCCAGGCTACTTGATGAGCCTTTGACAGCACCTCTTTCCATTAAGTTTTGGGGGATATCTCTACTAAAGCAAAGTCTCAAAAATACTCCATACTGTAGCTTTAACAGATATGAGAGTGCTACTGATTGTCTCGTACTGTAAGTGTTTTTCACAAAATGTCAAAATGATTACTTACTGTTACCAGCTGTAAAATAAGGAGCCCAGGCTCCTGGAATGACCAATTTTAGTAGAATAAGTTTGCACAGAGTGATGCTTGAGTTTAGAAAAATGTAAAAATCTTTTTAAACGCCTCAGATTTTTTCATAAAATTTTTTGGCCAATTTTCGTGTTTTGCTTTTTGAGGATTTTGCTTGCTTTTGACAAAGTTGTAAGTCCTTCTTTTGTGTTTTCAGAGTGTAGAGATACTGACCATCAATCAAGTGTCTTTTGTTGTGTTTGTGTGTAAGTCCATGTTTGTGCATCCACTTCAGGTGACCATGAATGATGTGATTGCTGCAGAGCGTGTGTTTGGGACATTGGGTCATATTGCAGCTACTGAAACTCCACGTTGCCGGCTCCTCCTGCTGCTAGAGGAGTCTAGGTGAGAATTTGTATTTTTGTAACATTTAGCGACAACATATAATTAATGGAAATTTGTGTACTGTGCCTGTTGTTTGTCAGGAATATGTGGATTCTTAAATGTGTGTGTGTGAGGGTGTGTATGTGTGAGTTACAGCTGAGGAGTGTGCAGGTTACTGTACATGCATGTGCCTGTGTGTAGCATTTTTCCTGTGTGTGTGTGTGTGTGTGTGTGTCTATGTATGTATGTGTGTAGATATACACACCGATCAGGCATAACACTATGACTTCAATGCAACCCTTCTGCCTTAACATTTGTGTTTATGAAGCTCAAAATAATTCAGTTTTTGGTGAGATTGTCATAAATGTATAAATTAAATTATAACCTCACCCTAACCTTAAATCATGTTGCCACCCTAAAATTGAGCGATTTCCTTGTGGGGACCAGAGGCTGGTCCCCACAAGGAAATCGCCAACTAAAATTTGTTTACACAGTCACACTGTGGGGGACTTACTGTCATCACTCTAAGTCCCCAAAATGGACTTCCAGTGATGACTTGGTTTAAGGTTAGGCTTAGACAAGTGGTGGTTATGTATTAGGGTTAGGGTAAGTCTCCAGGAAATGAATGTAAGTCAGTGTAATGTCCCCTGAGGTGTGTGTGTGTGTGTGTGTGTGTGTGTCTGTGTGTGCGACAGTGGCACAGCCTGGCACAGAGGAGCTAGGGAATGTGTCTCTGAGGAAGGGTGGGCACTTGGACACAAACATTTCTCTCTGTCCTCAGTCAAAAGCTCTTAAGGTCTGTCACTTGGGGTCAATGAAAGACATTCTTGCAAATCAAAATCTGCCAGTGTGTCTCACACTTGAATATTTTTTTGTTAAGCTGCACTCAATTTACTGCTTCTCATAAGTTTACCTTAACTATATTACTGCACTCTAAATACTGTTTAGACATATAGATAGCTATGTGCTGATGTAAGAGTTAATTTCAGTGGTGCTGAAAAAACAATATACATGTTCAATGAAATATAAACAAAAAAATTATAAAACCTTCACTTACTGTAAGTGTGGGAGCCTAGTAATACATCTGACCCGTCTCAGTGTTCCCAGATGCACTTTCAGAAGCTTCTAAACGTCTAACTAAATCTTCTGACTAACACCACTGACTTTCGTACAGAAGGTCGGGGATTCGAATCCCGGTCAGGGCACGGTCAATATTCAGCCTGGGTCCTTAGGCAAGGCCCTTAATGCTACCTGCCTACCTCATGAGTAATGACAGTTGAAAAAATAAGAGTCACTTCGACTCGGGCGTCACCCGGTTCAACAAGGTCCGCATCAAGTGTTGAGGAACCAGGACAACCTGATGAGAAGTGGGCTACTGGAACAAGACATTCATGGACAAAAGAAGAGAACAGGGAACTATTGGAATGCTACTATACAAGTAACCCCATTGAGAGGGGTTATATAGCTTCTTGGATGAGAGGTGAAACATCTTCGACCTAGAAATCTAGTCCAGTTGATTTTTTTCTAAGTTTTTTTCAGCTCCGTAATAATAGTGATAACAGTAAGGTCTAGACCTTACTTTGTAAAGTGTCCTAAGATGACTTTGTTGTGATTTGGCACTATACAAATAAAATTTGATTTGATTTTTATCACTAAGCTCCAATAACAGGCCCAGAAGGCCCAGATGAGCTTGATTCAAGCCTGAGATTGAAGATCACAAGCAAGATGGACACCTGGAACTTCTGTGGCCAGTTACCAAGACTAAGTGAATTGCCTTCTGAAAGTCTACTAGAGGATGTGAATGCAGCATGAAGCACAATCCCTACTATGACCATCACTGAGACCAACAAGCTCATATACACCACAGAAACCGTGATCCTTGAGATGCTTGGCTATAAGTTCAACAAAGGCCATAAGGAGCAGTATCCTCCATGGAGAAGGAGGTTAGAGGCCAAGATCAAGGCAGCAAGGAGAGAAGTTAGCCAGCTATCAGAATTGCAAAAAAGCATGATGAAGAAAGGGGTACCTTGTTAGGACTGCTCAAACACAACTGTGAGCGAGTCACAAAAATAGACGGACCCAGATGGCTGACTTCGATGCAGACAGTGTAGTTTATTTACAGTGATGTATAAGAGACAATAAATGTACAGTGAATAATACAGGGACCGGGTGTCGAGCTTAGGAGTGTTCACAGTCAATGATGGTAATGATACAAGAGGACCGGGCTGCGGACAATGGGATTCACTCCTGGACTGGTCGGGTTTGCTGTAACTGAAGATAAACAGAAAAAGTACATACGGTTGAGTGGTAGACTGTGCATCGACCTGCAGGGTGGTGATAAGCAGAGTGGAGGAGGTCCGTGGTCCGAAGGAGCGGCTGAATGCAAAGAGGGAATGTAATCGAAGCAGCTGGAGAGGAGAGACACAAAAACACTAAATACAGAATCCAAAGAACTACGGGGAACAAACGGGCCTGAGAAAAGCTAGAAAGAACTGGCAGGGGAGTGAACGAAGAGCAGGGACTAAATAGGGAAAAACTAATCAGGTGCAGCTGGTAGGAAGAAGCTCTAAGAACAAGCTCTAAGTACAAGATCAGTAGGGGCCGGGGTCTACCATACCAGGCAGGACCCCAGGTGCAGGCTGTGCAAAGATCCCCCTGAGACAATCCAGCACATAACAGTGGGGTGCAAGATGCTAGCAGGCAGGGCATTCATGGAACGCCATAACCAAGTGGCTGGCATAGTGTACAGAAACATCTGTGCCGACTACAGGCTGGAAGTCCCAAAGTCAAAATGGGATGCACCTCCAAAGGTGGTTGAGAATGACCAAGCTAAGATCCTGTGGGACTTCCAGATACAAACTGACAAACTGGTAATGGCCAACCAACCGGACATAGTAGAGGTGGACAAACAGAAGAAGAAGGCCGTAGTGATAGATGTAGCAATCCCAAGCGATAGCAACATCAGGAAGAAGGAACACAGGCACAGGGCTTGGAGTTCAGCCTAAAGAGTTCAATTTATATTTGATCAGACCAGGGAACCTTTTCCCTCATGATCTCAGAGTCTTTTAAATGCTGTCTGACAAACTCCAAGATGTTATCTGCCTTTTATTTAGAGTGCCTTCCCTCTAATTGTGTGGATGCTGTAAAGCATCCACACTATGTTATGCAGTTCTTTATTATTGTATAGATGCAAAAAAGTATCCATACTATGTTATCCTGTTCTTTATTGTATGGATGCTGAAAAGCACGAGTATGGAATTTTCTTCTTCTTCTTCTTTCGGCTGTTCCCGTTAGGGGTCGCCACAGCGAATCATCTGTTTCCACCTAACTCTATCCTCGGCGCCCTCTACTCTCACTCCAATCAACTTCATGTCCGCTTTAAGCACATTCATATATCTCCTCTTTGGCCTTCCTCTTGACCTCTTGCCTGGCAGCTCCATCTCCAACATCCTTCTACCAATATAACCACTATCCCTCCTCTGCACATGTCCAAACCATCTCAATCTGGCCTCTCTGACCTTGTCCCC